TTTTAACATGTCTGTTATACAAGTTTTATACTTACATATAGAGTATGTTTGGGTGTGGTTTTTTATTACCACTTGGTATTTTCAATCATTTAAGGAAGCTTAATGCAATCAGCCCCAATGCCTCTCATGTCAAAGGTAAGAGCAGGAGTCGCCAATTTAAACAGAAACGACTTTCTTTCTAAGGGTTTTTTCTTCTGCTCAACTCTACAAAAGTAAAAGAAATTGCATTATGTCCAAAAGAAACTTATTTGCACTGTATCTGGAAGGGATTCTACTTGACCTGAAAATTGCATTACATCAACTCAAAGTATATTTTAAAGCCAGTATCTGTACCAGTACAATTCACATGCCTACTCTGAAATCAGAGTTGTTTGTAGGATTTCATTTGTAACAACTGGATGAACTTTATGGAGTTACTTGGCACAACCTAAGATGAATCTCATCTGATATTACTCATTTTTAATTGATTGAAGTATCAAGGCAGCAGGAAGTTGTTTTTGTTGTGAACGTAATGTATAACTCTTCCCTCTCGTTTCCCTTCCTTCACTGCAAAGTCATCTCTTGTTTATGGTTAATACACTTTGAAAGTAGTCTTCATATATGCTTCAGGGTAGTTTCACAGTCACAACCGGGGTTGTTCTGTGGTTTGTTGTTTTTTTTTTCTTTTAATAGTAGGAAGCTACAATACTAAGTCACATGTATATACGTGAGTGTTACAGTAGCCCAGTGAACCTTACCTTTATGTTTTGACCTCTTGCTGCACACACAAGGGCTAGTCTAGCCAGTTGAAAGGGAGTTTGTTCAGAGATTACAGTAGAGCAGAAAGTTAACTTTTGTGCCCTGGAACAGCTTTTCTGAATGCCATCTTCATAGGTCTCAGCTGAGTTCACCCTGAGCACTCCTTGTTAGCTTCAATACAAAATCAAGTATCACCTCCACCTGGAAAGGGTGGCCCAGGGTAGGGTGTTAGAGGCACTTTCTGAAAACTAGGTCTGCCAAGACAAGTTACACTGGATTCCTTTTATCACAGTGTTTTGGGATTCCTTAGAGAGCTGTCAGAATTTCCCATGTAAAAATATACCAACAAGATAGGATTGAAGCTGCAAAGGTTAAGGTAGCAAGCACATGGGTCTGCAAAGGTTAAGGTAGCAAGCACATGGGTGATTATTAGAGGACAGGAGGGGTCTTCTAGCTCATTTAATAGCTGAATGGGATTGTACCACTGAGACTAGTGGTACAAGAGGAAACGAGTTTAACAAAGGCACTAAACTGAAGTAACTTGTTTTTAAACAAGAAAGGAGGGGTTCTTACTAAAATTAAAATAAGTATATGCTCCCACAAAAAAAAACAAAACAAACAAAGCCACACCTCACGATATTTAAATGCAAGATGAGTTTTATGACTGCTGTATTAACAAAAAAAAACCCACAACCAAAAACCAAGAAGACTGAAATCAGCAGAACTTTGTAGACTTGAATACTTCATGAGAGATCAAGGAATAGAGTAGTTCCCTTCAATGCAGCAACTATGAAAGCACAAACTTTGCCCCTTTTGGAAAGCCAGTCTCTTGTCTCAAACTTGCCTAAATTATACATAATGCAGTTGATAGTGACATATTAGAATAAAAAGAAAAAAAAAGGCATTTTAATTTTAAGATAAAGGAGATGTATTTGGTACTTAGTTTTAACACCTTCCAGGAGTCTTAAAGTTGTACATGATCTCTGTTTATTAGGTCTTCAGCTGCATGGTTCTGTGAAAGCCCACAGTCGAAGTGGATCAGTCACAAAAAGCAAACAGGGGTTCTGACATGCCATGAAGAAGTATCCATCCATCTCGAGTCACAAACCACCTCTCATTCTCAGCAATGTCAACGTTGTTTACAGAGAGTTTTCAAGCACCCTTCCTTAGGAACAGTTATTTTTATATAAATCCAGGAAGCAGCTGCCAAAGATTTGGAGGGGTATACTTAAACATTCCATTTTCTACCAGTAGAACAAGTTATACTCCAGTGGAAGGGTGAATGTGCTCCAGTGGATAGTGAAGCTAACTCCTAGAAAAGCTAGCAAATGCTCTCAGTCATTGCTGTTTTCCCATGTTCATGTTGTCACAGGCAGGTACTGCAGAACCTGCTGATTTTTTCATCAGGCCTTCCATAGTAGTCGTAATTGAAATCTTTAAAGCTATATTTATATGTCTAAAGCAATATTATACTATCAAAAGCAAGCACTGCACGTGATACTGCTTTTACAGCTCAACTTAGACAAGTTAAGAATCCTGTAGTAATTGCAGCAGATAGTAACACAGTTGTGTGAAAACAAGGTAGCAAACCAGATGAACAGAGTTGACAGCTTTCAGGGTAGCACACCACTGACTTGTCTGCTTATATACTTATACCTCTTCCTCAGTGACTGAAGAAGGTTTAAGAGGCAAAAAAGGAGTCTCTTACTGCAAGTAGTTCCAGACAGTACAGTATTCAAAGAAAGTACATTGTCTTCCTGGTGAGATATTTATGGTAATTTCACAGAATAGGTCAGTCTCACTTTCTAAAAATACCTGCGGTTAGAGAAGATTTCTGCATTCTGCCATGAAGTCCCACAACCCACAGACACAACATCGGTTTTGGTAGATGTGTTCTGCACTGTGACACGCGCACCGGAGGTACTAACTGTAGTTGCCCTTGTGGCTCCAAATAAGACAAAAACATGAAACATAAGCTTCTCAAGATAAGTGATTAGTTGAAGGTCTTACTCCCAAGCAGTAAGTGCCAGACTACAAGGAAGTGTAAAGACAAGGTGAGGATAACCATGTGCTCTATTTTAACAAAGTTAGGACACTGCACAGGAACAGTTGTTCCCTTATAATCCAATTAAAAGGCACTTTTTGATAAGTTTCCTTATTAATATTTTCCAAATTACAATTCATAATGGAAAAAAACCTGCCAGTATTCTTTATGAAGTGGCTCCCCTATTCCCCCACTCTTAAGTTACGCAACCTGTCAAATGTTCATGGTACTTACAGAACAGCTAATAATTTTTAATCAATATTGAAGTTCTTGAGTCCAGTTGATCCAAGCATGCTTTAATCAAGGAGGGAAAAGAAAGCAAAGCAGAACTGTGCAAATGTAACTGGGTTAACTTTCCATTGCATTTCTAGAGGGGAAAAAAAGCTCTGGGTTCCATCTAGATCTCTTAAGTTTGCATAGAGATAAATTGATGCTGAAGAGAGGCCTCTAAACCCTTTCAAAATACAATTCCTGTGAACAGTTGAGACTACTGAACGTGGTACAGTGTGTTATTCAGTTATCTCAAGCTAACTGGAGATAAGCTTCCCCTTCATATCACTGCCATTCCTCAGGGGCCAAGACAGTTTTCTGTAGCCCTAGTGCATAAGAGTTACAAAAATATACAAATAAACTAGAATAGACTTCTAGTAACATAATGTAGTATTTTATAGCCTAGAGGTTTGTTAAAATTTGAGTGAAAGCAGTGTCATCATAAGGTAGTTCTTTGTTTCTGTACAAACAGTTGACACCAGAGACCTGTCCTGGGCTGTTAGATGCCTATTTTGTTTGGTAAAAGCGATATTCAGGTCATGTGTAATGCAACATAACGCTACTCTGTACTCTCAGAATCAGGATAATTTTTGAAAGCAGCCAAGTAAAGGGGAGCAGTTACCATCTACCTCCAGCTTCCCCCCAGGAAGCTCTATTAAATAGCCAGTTCTGAATGCTATCACTGAAGCAATGAGGACCTTCGACTCAAAAGTAAGTGTTCACCTTGTGGCTCATGAGCTTTTGAAAAATGATCCACCAATAAAGGCAGCCTCATTCCTTTGAGCTATAGTAAGCTGAAAACTAGTTACCCTTCAAATCCATACCTCTGCACACTATTGTCAAGTGGTTAAAAACAGCTGAAGCAAAAACCTTCAAAGTATTTGCACATCTTAAAGAAGTAATTAACTTCCAAAATAACAGAAGTGGTGACAAATACCATTAAGTACCTGATCGCAACCATCCTACAGCAGAGTTGACTGCGATGCTATTGAAATAACATGCAATACATTTCTAAGGTTTGGAACTCCTTGTTGTGGGGCATCATGAACGCTAGAAATATACAAAACTGACTCTGTTCTGTGGATTTTTAAGTTTAATACCTCACCTCAGTGTGTCAGAGAATTTCTGCAGTCACATACATGCTGCAGTCTCCTGTTCCTAAGGCATCTGCCACAGGCACTCAAAGACCAAAACACGAGGTGGCCATTTCATCTAATGTCACATCACCAGCTCTGACACCACAGTTAACAATATAGCTGTATTTTCAGCTGCTGTAGAAGGACATGGTACTTACTTTACTTAAATCAGTCAGAAGAGTCAACGTGACCAGTTTGTTTTGAACAGCTACTTAGAAAATGCAGAGAGGGCTGGGGAAGCAACATAGCACAGAATTCTGCAAAATCTTTTCATTTATTAAATCTGTGATTTTCCAAAGTATCTTTATAAAACGACTGGAATATCTGAAAAACACCCGTTGAGCTGAAGTGCAAAGACCTTTAAAAACAGAAGGTTTGTTACAGAAGAAACGTGCGAACAGCAAAAAGGTAACGTTTCCAACAGAGAAACCCCAGGAGTCAGCACTGAAGACTCTCAAAGGTGTGGGATTACGTTGTTTTACCATCAACAGTACCAATATCCATTAGGTGTTTGGAAGGAAGGTGCTTCAATGGAGTTTAATAAACACACTGCCATCCCAAACATCACACCGCTTCCCTACTGTGATGAAACTTTTAGCCAAGAATCTGTTTGATCTTAACTGAAGAGCACCCAGAGGATTTTAAACAGTAGCACCAGAATGCTTTGTGTTATTCATGATGCGTTCTGTATCATACCTCCCAGTCACAGCTAGGTGATGCACAGATTCTAAAACAGTAGCCCAGAACTCTGAAATTCTCCCAAATCCACATGTTCCCATACAAAATGATACCCGATACTTCAGCCTATACACTTATTTCTTTCCTTTCTTGGCTGCAGTCTTCTTTCCTCCTTTTTTAGTGTTATTCCCGTATTTTGCTTCCAGTTGGGCCAAAAAGTCATCCATTTCCTTTTTTCGATCTTTATTTCTGCTCTGGGGGAGGGAAAAAAAAAAAAATAAACCCCACAACCAAAAGTTTTACTACTTCCCAATACAGATTATTCTGTTGAAGTTAGATAGCTACATAAAAACTTGGAATACCTTCAACAGGGAATACAAGCTACAGCAAGTACAGTACCATCAAGCCAAAGCTGACTTGGATACTCTAGGCTCTACACCTAACTTCCTGAAGTATCAAGACAGAGGTAAAGAGTGGCTATAAAAAATTCATGACATATGGCCAGGAAAAGCAAAGTGATTTCTAGTTTAGACCCAAATCTCTATTACAACCTGAGGAATGATTAAGCATCAACATTCTAGGAAGTCCACTGGATGGTAAGAAACTGGAAATGTTCTGAAAAACGGAACATAAACAGTACGTTTCTTTCCTCAATCCGCAAGATACAAAAGCAAAATAGTAAGACTTAGCAACCTCTACATCTTCGTGGAATCCCTCAAAAAGAAAGAATCATTAATGCTCCTTGTCAAACTGCCTAAAACTAGAAGTTAAATGTTTTGATTATGTGTGCAATAAGGATATTAGAATACTTTGTCAATTTGTAAAGAGAGGTAATAAAATCCATACCATACTCTTGACTACACGTTAAAGTACATAGTTAACATTAAGTCAGGTTTTAATCTCAGGAACTCAGAACTGAGTTGCAAGGATCCAGAACACAAAGATGCTCAGGGAAAACACAATTATAAGCCAGTAATATAATTATCTTGAACAGATACAAAAAGCCTTACTTGAATCAGTGCTTTCAAGTCATCTTCTCCACTGAGGCCCAGTTCGTCTTTAGTCTTTTCTGCCTCTCTAGCTTCTTTTTCTGCCTAAAACAGCAAACTAGTTTTTTAAAAAGTATTTTGCATGTTATTTGACAAAGCCTTATACTAATTACCAAACTTTTTTTTTTTTTTTTTTTTAATCTGTACACAAACATCTGCAAGAAAACACGAACAGTTTCCAAGTTTCACCACAGATGAGAAATCAAAGAAAGCCCTTTCTGGTTCCACAATTTAGTAGAGCGGGGCAGTTTTCTGTTGTTTCACAATGTTGAATGCGACGTCTATCCCCACCCCTGTTCTCCCCACCCACACTTTTTTTTTTTGTCTTAGCAGCTGTTACAATTTTCTTTAACTTAGAGAAAGGTTACTGTGATGTGCATATAACATAAAGTGTCCAAAAAAACCCAGGTTGGAGAAGAGGTCCATTTAGTCCAGAACGTTACTTCACACTTCCCAAAAGCAGGCACAATATATTTCCACGATGTTCACTTCTTAACTGCAGCAACTCATACCTTTGTAAATAAATGCAGGGACATGCTAAACTGTAATAAGCCATTGTGTATAATAATGAAATAAATAAGTAATAGACAACAGCCTATTACAACTCAAAAGCCATTCACAACAATTTGGCAGGGACTGAGTACACAGGTGACCGAACGTTAAAGTCAGGTACTGAGCAAGATCTGTAACCCAGCGGTCCTGGGACAAACATTTGTCTCAAGAACAGTTTCATTTATTTCTACCAAGGGAGATTAAAAGCTTATAAATAACGCTTCCCTTTGGTCCCAGATTGATATAACTTACCCGCCTTTTTCTTGCGATCATTTTCTGCTTCGACTCTTTTACAAAACCTTTGTAGGACGGGACCTCTCCAGAATCAATGGCTTTCTCTATGATCTTCCGTATTCTTGGTTCGTCTGTATAGTCCACGCACAACACGGACTCTATTATTCTATCCATGTCACCCTCAAAATCCATGTACGCTGCTTTAATATCAGCTAGCTCTTCTTCCGAATCCTTATAGCTCTTTTCGAAGTCTTCAATATCTTTTACCGTGATCTGAAGCAAAGAGGTGACACTTCTTGAGCTGCAGGATTTATTTACAGAAGGATTTAAGAGTCTGCATGGAACCCCCCCAGTGCTTTACACAGGGCTCGGGAGGGAGACACGGCCACAACGCTGAAGCCGCGGGCTGCCCCGTCCC